CCCCGTGTTATGTACCAAGATACTTTCTCACTGCACCTGTTAGTCGGTGGTTTCCATCAGCAAGGAATTTACGGAAATGGCCGATTAAACTTATTATGGCAGTGAATCTATAACAAAATTATTTAGGAAGTGTATTGTTCTCATGTTATAATGAGGTTGTGTCTGTCTCAAATTAATTGTAACAAATATAATTCTATTCAAGACTCGTTAAACTCATCTTTGCCACGTAAGCCAACGCTGTAGCCAATCATATTGTTGTTACACATTACTGGGAAGAAAAAAAAACATACTTTCTGAACAAAATCAGATTAGAAAAATAAAAAATAAAAAAAATAAATAATAAAACAAGCAAAGTCCTCTCCCACCATAGATCATATTTATGTTGTTTCCTAGTATATATGACGGTGTTAAGTATATATATATATATATATATATATATATATATATATATATATATATATATATATATATATATATATATATATATATATATATATATATATATATGTGTGTGTGTGTAAATAAATAAATATATATATTTATTTATTTATTTACACACACACACACACACATATATATATATATATATATATATATATATATATATATATATATATATATATATATATATATATATATATAATCGGTGTAGTGAGATATATGCTTACGGCACTATAACTAGATTCGTATATATAAAAAATATCTTTAAGATTTGCTAAGTAAAAAAACAGTGTTCTTGAGACATTTTATTAAATTAGTCTTTTGTCTAGTGCTTTTACTGAAGCTAAATAATCCAATTTATTTTAATCGTTTCAAAGTTGTGTAGAGATCATTACCAGATAGAATCCTTAATACAATGCATGTTGTGCAGTAACGCAGATTTATAATTTCTGCACAACGATAAGAGTAGAAATTAGTGTTGCACATTTTGCTGATAATTGCTTTAGTTTTGAACACCTGAGAATTTTCAGGTCCACCCTACATTTTTTGTATTTATGAAAAAAGTTTCAAGACAAAGATAAATGCCGATGTGAACAATACAATAAGTCTAACTTCGTTATGATCAGGATATGTATAACAATAGCTGGAATAATTTCGTTATCCTCAGGATATTTGTAATAACATATGGTCTAACTTCGTTGTCAACAGGATATTTGTAATAACAGATGGTCTAACTTCGTTATTAACAGGATATTTGTAATAACAGATGGTCTAACTTCGTTATCAACAGGATATTTGTAATAAAGTTGCTTAACCACGACAAATAAGTATGACCGTGTGAGCTGTTGCATATAGCAATTTTGGTCAAAGGTTTATTCGAGTCTGGAGGAAACAACAGGTAGCGTTAGTGCTCTTTCAGAATGCCAGTGTGATTCCATCCTTGATAAAATAAAATAAACGTCCTAAATTCTGGTAAGATTTTGATTGAGTTATCTAAATTAATCACCACAGTTTAAAAAATTGCTACAAAAAATCCTTTAAAAATGGCTTCAAGAGTTGACTCTTTCCTTTAGACTCTGTGTGTGTGTGTGTGTGTGTGTCTGTGAGAGAGAGAGAGAGAGCCAGAGAGAGAGAGACAGACAGACAGACAGACAGACAGACAGACAGAGACAGACAGAGACAGACAGACAGAGAGAGATTCGGATACGTTTGACGATAAGGTGTTATACGTAACTATGTAAATTCTGCTACGTTTTTGGGAACTTGGCAATGCTTGATATATGGCTACGTTTTTGGGAACTTGACAATGCTAGATATACGGCTACGTTTTTGGGAACTTGGCAATGCTAGATATACGGCTACGTTTTTGGGGACTTGGCAATGCTAAATATACGGCTACATTTTGGGGGAACTTGGCAATGGTTGATATACGGCTACGTTTTTGGGAACGTGGCAATGCTAGATATACGGCTACGTTTTGGGGTAACTTGGCAATGCTAGATATACGGCGACGTTTTGGGGAACTTGGAAATGCTATATATACGACTACATTTTGAGGAACTTGGCAATGCTAGACATATGGTGGAAAACGCTGTAAGGAATGAGAAGAGCCTGTCTCTGATTCTCGAACGGATTGATTTTAATTTATATAGATATATACATTCTAGCGATATATGTTATAAAGCCGTTATATCTAAAATAAATTATATACATATAAAGTTACAATTTTCCTTGCAGCTTACCAACTTCATACATTTATGTAATTTCTGTGTTTTAGAATAAAATAGAGTATAAAATTCAATAGTTGAGATTAATGCAACAAACCTTTTAAAGAAATGTATTTTACTAAATTTACAATAAATTAAGTTCCCATAGTTTAAAGAGCTTACGGACGCAAACAGTTCTTACCTGTAAGGAAATAGAAGAGTCTCGAACGGGCCGATTTTTACTGGAGGATGCTGGGATATGTATACACGTCCATCCCTATAAAATCAGAAGAAACTCCCACCCCTTTCCCACAGGAAATACGTGAATTAACAATTTGCCGACATTTTGGTACAAGCAAATTGTATGATTGCCTAACATAGCTTTCATTAAGTCTAAAGTTTGTTGACGTTAAGGTTTAAATACAGGGGAATGTAATTGCTCACACAATTGTGATCTTTACCAAACAGCACACAGCTGCAGCTCGAAAACAAATCAAATGTTAATCTCAATATTGTTTAGTGCAAAATTGCTTCCAATATATTTCAATATAACAAATACTTTTAATACGATTTAGAGGAGAATTTCACTCTTAATACTTTTACTAAAAATCTCTATCTTGATACTAATTTTGCAAGTTTTCAATTTTTGTTGCTGAAGTTTGTTTGAATTTGTAATAACATCCAGAAAAATAAGAGGGTCATACTTGGTTCCATCGTTGCCATTAAAAGTAAATTGAATACCTCTTGCTGCTATTAATATTATTCAAATTGATCGTTTTTCTGTTGATTCCAGGTGGGCTTTTTAAAATAGAAATCAAGTATGCTTCGATTCTTTTATTGAAAGATGCAGTACAATACAATGTGAGCTGTTGCTTTGATTTAAACATACAGTACAATGAAATGCTAGTCCGTTGCTTTGATTGAACCATGCAGTACCATTATAAGTGAGTCCGTTACTTTGGTTTAACCATGCAATACCATGATATGTGAGTCCGTTACTTTGATTTAACCATGCAGTACCATGATATGCTAGTCCGTTGCTTCGATTTAACCATGCAGTACCATGATATGTGAGTCCGTTACTTTGTTTCAACCATGCAATACCATGTAGTGATGGGCCCGGTTCTTTGATATAACCACAGTACGATGAAATATGAGTTCGTTGCTTTGATTTAACTATGCAGTACCATGAAATGTGAGTCCTTTGCTTTAATTTAACCATTCAATATCATGTAGTAATGTGCCCAGTTCTTTGATATAACCACAGTACGATGAAATATAAGTTCGTTGCTTTGATTTAACCATTCAGTACCATGAAATGTGAGTCCTTTGCTTTAATTTAACCATGCAATACCATGTACTAATGAGCCCGGTTCTTTGATATAACCACAGTACGATGAAATTTAAGTTAGTTACTTTGATTTAACCATTCAGTACCATGAAATGTGAGTCCTTTACTGTAATTTAACCATGCGGCACCATGAAATGTGAGCGTGTTGCTTTTTGATTTAACCTATTTCAGAATGAAGTGTTTCTATCTAGTCGGTTCTTCTGCATACATTTTCTTATTATACATGTATTGTAATCTAATCTTCCAGTACTAGCAACGAAATCCGCAACATTACTTTCCCCGGATTACTTAATAGAAACTTCCATAAATCTGTTGATGTGTGTAATTGTACGAAACATTTTTTAATAAATGGTACGATTTATTCCTCTTAATTACCTCAGATAATGCTTTGTTGAACTTGAACATTTCTACAGATGAAGTCACATTGTATCATATTTATATCATTGTTGGATAGATTAATTCAACCTCAGACAGTTATAGGTACTGCATATTGACTTAAACATTGCATAATATGGACGCACAAATCTCACAACTTCTCAATTGTCTGTCAACCAATTAACGGCATTGTTTTTCTTTGTTTAACTTTTCGTAACTTAACGCCAGTATTAGACGTCGTAAAACTAAACAATTCAACCACCTAATACAGGGAACGTTGTTTGCAATGTCACTTTAGGCCAGTCAAACCATGATTTTAAGCCACATTTTATCTGTAAGTCTACACCATATTTACCACCTTATCAACTATAAACGGCGTACACCACGGCGGAACAGTTTCCATCTCGTTTATTCTATTGTAAAATTTACTAGTCGTAAATACTGCACCTGGAATTAGACAATTTGCACAAATATATTTTAATAAGGACTATTGAACTCCGGGACACTCATACCGCTCTAGCCTGAAATTACCAAAAGTAAATCATGGCATCACTGAAACTCACTAAGTCTTAAATGAAACGACATGACTGCAGTTGAAAGAGATGAGGAAGAAACGGATCAAAAAAGGCAAATCATATATATATATATATATATATATATATATATATATATATATATATATATATATATATATATATATATTGTGTAACAGAACCATAATAAAATTGACAATATATCTCACTCACACTATTAAATACGAATATATATATATATATATATATATATATATATATATATATATATATATATATATATATATATATATATATAATCGAAGATTTTCAATGTTTTTCTTTTCCAGCATTTGCTACATATTCTTGTTATAAAACCTTGTCTTCTTCAAACTATCGTAAGAAGCTTTCGCTGTTTGATGTGTTCTCTAACAACATATTTATGTATGTGTCTGTTTTATGTATGTTTGGGTAAAACATGCAGCATCTTATAAAAAATTGCATTTGTTGTATTTTTGATATATTGGATGTCAGCAATATCTGACTGCCACTATTCATTAACGATACGGCTATAAAATCTTTTGTATCGAACACGTTTCCTTTTTGATTGTGCACTGCTCTGGTGGCCCAGTGAGTAAAGCGTCCGCCTCGGATGCGGGAGTTCTTGGGTTCTATCCCCGCTCGAGTCATACCAAAGACTTACAAAAATGGTACTAACAGCTACCTCGTTTGACGCTCAGCATTAAGAAATTAGTGTTAGGACTGATCGGCCTGGTGTCAGTATAATGTGACTGGGTGAGACATCATGCTACATGTCTGCGCCATGATACTCCAGTGCTAGACATCACTATATGAACTGCCACACTGCAGACATCGTAGCGATATGACTGAAAAATTGTTAAAGCTACTTTAAAAGTTATAAACACCATACACACCACTTGATTGTGCATAAATTGTTTATATAATCATTGCTACAGTTCTGACCATTTTTTTCGTCTGGACCCTTTAAACATGTCGCCATATTTTAATTTATATTTGTGTAAGTGACAAGGCTGAGAAGATCACAACAAATATATCAGAATTATTTTTTCAGTGTGCGAAGCGATAAGGTGTGCCTTTCATATGCATTGTAAAAGACTTAAAATCACCCATAAAATGTATTGTACTTTATATTAGATTTAGATGTAATCAACAACCAAGTAGGACGACTGTGTCAACATGAGCATAAATTTCAAATGATTCTCATCGATCCTCTTTTTACGTATAAATAATTTGAAACTGATGTCAAAGTTAGATGTTCAGATGATTTATTTATTTGTCAGTGTGCCATTCATATAACTTCAGCTTTTCGTCAAAATTTCCCAGTCATATGGTTCATTGGATTGAAATTTATGTCGAAGATTGACATTCATATATTGAATAACGTCAAAGTGATGTCACGGTTTTGCCATTCATATGATTGAATCAATTTGAGATTGTCGAAATTTGCCAGTCATACGTTTGAATCTATAAGTGTGTCCTTAATATCGTGGAAAGATTTATGTTCCAATGACTGAATCAAATTCGAATTGATGTTAAAGTACGTCATTCCTATGGTTCATGTTTGAAATCAATGTCAATGTTTGACATTCCTGTGGTTCATGTCTGAATCGATGTCAAAGTTTAACATTTCTATAGTTCGTGTATGAAATCCTCGTCAACGTTTGACATTCCTGTGGTGGAATCCATTTGAAAAAGAAATCAGTGATTGCCATTTTTATTGTTCAAACAATTTTAAATTGAGTTCAAAGTTTGCCATTAATATGATTTCATGATTTTATATTGATTTCAATTATTGCCATTCATATAGTTAAATAATTTTTTTAATTTATTACAATCATTTCAATTCATACGTTTGAATAATTTTTTAATTGATGGCAATTATTGCAGTTCATATGATTGAATATTTTTTTCATTGATGTAAGAATTTGCCATTTACATGGTTCAATGATTTTAAATTGAGGTCAAAGATTTTTATTCCTATGTTTGAATGATTTCGATTTGATGTCAAAGATTGCCATTCTGATGGTTGATTGATTTCAAATTGGAGACAAAGATTGTCATTCCTAGAGGTTGAGTGATTTCAGATTGATAATTAAGTTTGCATGAAGTCAAAGGTTGTCATTATTACGGTTGAATGATTTCAAATTGGTGTCAAAAATTGCCTTTCCTATGTTTGAATGATTTCAAATTGGTGTCAAAAATTGCCTTTCCTATGTTTGAATGATTTCAAATTGGTGTCAAAGATTGCCATTGCTATTGTTAAATACTGTTACATTAGTGTCAAAGATCGCTATTCCTATCGCTAAATCAGCCACAACTATCTCTTTCTTATACAGTACTGTTTTGATCAGCATGCATTTAGGGTAAATGCCCTTTTACAATTTCATTATATTTGAAAGTAATCCATGGTTTCGCTTCTATTGTGCAACATTGGAGTACATCTTCTAATATTTATATCAACAATTCATCACTTGTATTGTCTAGAACGTTATACAGCTTTAAACAAATTCCCAACAATATATCAGCATTGATGCTTTTATATTTGACTCGTAAACCATCTTTCACCTGCGTATAATAACGTGTGTGTGTGTGTGTGTTTGAGAGAGAGAGAGAGAGAGAGAGAGAAAGAGAGAGAGAGAGAGAGAGAGAGAAAGAGAGAGAGTGTGTGTGTGTGTAGGAACGAACGAATTTATATTTTTCAAACCACATTGCATTTTCAAGATACATGCATCTCACTATGGCGGAATTGTGACAGGCTGCTTTAATTCACAAAAGACTTGCTCTGTTTCATTTAAGAAGACACTGTATGACAAGTCAAGCAGAACCTTGCTTTGAATAATTTGAAAAGTTTTTATTATTTATTTCTTTAAATTTACAGGTTTTATTTTATAACACAAGGGCCAACTAAAATACATGTTTACGACCTGATATATTTGAAAGTGAAAATTAATTCCTTCCCACATTTATGGAGATTGTTTCAGTATGTTAGACTGGGAGATTGTGTCAGTATGTTAGACTGGGAGATTGTTTCAGTCTGGTAGACGGAGATTTTTTCAGTATGTTATACTAGGAG